TGGCCCTAGTTATTCTAACTACATTTTCCCCGGAGGAAATACTGGTGAAAAGAATGTGGAACAGAGGGAAACTGGTTTAAAGCCCGACGATGTAGGGGGTGGGATGGATTTGTATCATGGAAACCATGGAAACAACTATGTGGAGAACACTGTCAGCTTGACATGACAGAAGACCTGGCTGATTGTGTCCCAACAGTCTGCTCATCTCTTTACTCTCTGTACAACGTTGGGGAAGTCATTTCATCCCTGTGCGCCTCAGTTTCCTAATATGTAAAATGCTTATGTTTTGTGCATGATTGACTTAACTAGTCTCCTTTTCCAGAGATTTTATCACTATAGTAAACTTTAAATTGCTGTATTAATGTGAGGTATTATTGCTAATAGGAAGCTGACCAAAGTAAAAGTAATCAAACAATTGGAAGAGGTAGCAGACTTGGTCTTGAATAGGAAATCAAGAGAGAAAAGGACATTCTAGCATATTATAACAAAGGAAACGACACGAAATTTAAGAGGAATAAATGTAGACTCTAGGATTTTAGTTTTTAAAATATCAGTTAAAGATTAGTTTAGAATTGGTTAGGCAGCCTTAACAAATTTTTTGATCCTCAGAACTAGTCCCAAATTTAGCTACAAAATAAGCACTTTCTTACATTCAAATATTGTTGATTTTTTTTCCCCAGCATACTGCTAGAGGGTAAGAAGGAGGTAGAAGTCTTTCACTTTACATAAAAACCTGGCCTCACAAAAGGCTGCAGTTTTCCCTGTATCCTTCTTGAAGGAGGCTGAGAGGGCTTCAGGAATGAGAGTCTAGGTCTAAGGCAGCTTGGAAGAGTGGAAAGGGCCTAGCTAGGGGTCAGAGAACTTGGGCTAGAATACTGCCACTACTACTTAGCTGTGTAATCTTGGACAAGTTACTTAACTTCTGTTTCCGCATCTGTAAAATGGGGGGGGTGGAAGGTCCTTTCTGAGACTTAAATCTCCTGATTTGAGTTTGCCCATTTTTGCTTTTCTGAGCAGTTTTCTCTTTTCCAGGTTTAAATATCCCCAGTGCTTTCAATCAGTCTTCTGTTCTAAGGTTTTAGGGAGAAACCTTCACACCATTTTTTGCAGTCCATTTTCTTTTCTTCATTCATGCTGCCTCCACCCTACTGGTCAAGGCCTTTATCACTTTTACTGGGAATACTGTTAGTGAAGTCTCTCCACACTCCAATTTATACTCTGCATAGCTATATTTTACCCAAAGCATTTGTTCTACTGTCTCCATGTTACTTCTCTAGCGTCACATTTCAGCTCCTTTGTTGAGCATTCAAAGCTCTTCACAACCTGACTTCACTTACCTTTTCCAGCATATAATTCCCTTTCACATATTCTTTGGTCCAGCTAAACATCTCCCACTTCCATGCTTTTGCACTGTTGTTCCCTCATGCATGGAATGTATTCTCACCTTATTTCCCACTTTTAGGATTTCTAGTTTCCTTCAAAATTATCCTCAAATGGCACCTTCTACACGAAGTGCTTTTTGATTTCCCTCCTGCTACTAGAGCCTCCCCTTTACAAAAAACAAAACAAAAACCAAACATATCTATTCTGTATATATTTTGCATCTATCTGTAAACAAACAGATGTGTCTGTGTCTATGTCTATGTGTCTGTGTGTGTCTGTCTATAAGCCCCTTGAATGTAGGGACTTACTCTCCCCTTCCTTTTTTTTTTTTAAGCACAGTAAACTTCCATTCTTTTGGAAGCTTAACAATTCTTTAGAAATGTGTGTGTGTGTGTGTGTGTATACACAAATATGTGTGTGTGTGTATACACAAATATGTGTGTGTGTGTGTATATATATAAATATATATATATATAAATACAAACATATATGTTATTCAGTAAAATTTTACTAAAGGGAATGGTTGAAATATCCTGAATTATTTTAATTTTAAAGAGATCATAAAGATCTGGGGGCTTTTGTATACTGTAAGCTCAATATAAATTGAATATTGTTACATGGTAACTTTTCCTGTCTTAGACTACATTAAGAAAGACGTAATAGGGGCAGCGAGGTGGCGCAGTGGATAGAGCACTGGCCCTGGATTCAGGAGAACCAGTTCAAATCCGGCCTCAGACACATTACACTTAATAGCAGTGTGACCCTAGGCAAGTCACTTAACCCCATTGCCTAGCAACAACAACAACAAAAAGACATAATATCCAGAATAAAGAAGGTACTAGCTCTGTTTTTCTCTGCCCTGGTCTTCCCATATCTAGAGTATTGTGTTCCTTTCTGGACACCACAGTTTAACTGATCAATGCAAGTGATCAGTCACAACTCCAAAAGGTTGATAATGAAACATGCTATCCACATCCAGAGAGAGAGCTGATGGACTCAGACTGCAGAGTGAAGCATATTTTTCTTTTTTCTTTTCTTTCATGTGTGTGTGTGTGTGCGTGTGCGCGTCCACATGTATACACATACACACACACACATATATTTTTTTTTGATGTAGCTAATATTTGTAATGGCTTTTGTTTTTCTTGCCTTTTCAATCAGTGGGGGTAAGAGGGAGGAAGGAGAGAGGATGGAAACAATTTGAACTGAAAATACAATAAATTTGAATTCAAAGAAGAAAAAAAGGATAGCTGTTAGAAGCTGGAATATAGCCAGAAGAAGGCAGCCATGGTGATAAAAGGACAGGAGATCATGTCATAGAAGGAATGGTTGCAGGATCCCCAGGGATGTTTAGGCCAAATAAAAGATGACTTGGGGGATACTTCAGGGTAGCCTCATTCTACTTATCCCTGAACTAGGAGCAGTGCATAAAAGTCACACAGAAGCAAATGTAGAATAAAGTAGAACTGTTTGCTGGAACTGTCCAAAAATGGAATGAAGATAGTAAATTCCCCTTTTCTGCAGGCCTTCAAGCAGAGGGTGGATGTGCTCTTGTTGTTGAAAACGTAGGAGGGATTCTTAAGAACAGGTTGAATTGATACCTAAAGTCCCATCCAGTTTTGTGAAATTTGTATTATTTTTGTGTCCACATCACACAGTATAGGCTGTGTAGACCCCTAATAGAATAAGAATAATAATAGAATGAGTTTTAGCATAGCACTTTTATATAAGCAACACTTCTAAAGAACTTCAAAAGTTTGGGGGTTTTTTTAGTAATTTAAATATGCTCTTCCCCCCATAATATTTTGTTTTCACAGTGTTTGCTTTTTTCAAAACACTTTTTGAAATATAGGGACAGTGTCATAAATGTGTCTAGTGTGTTCTGAGCTAAGAAGCATCCCCTGCCTTTGAGGAGTGTGTAGTTGAGTAAAGAAATGAGGTACCAACATAAATAGCTGCAACGAACAATATTGTAAGTACTTTCTGAAAATTTGCCTAGCCACTTTGGTCCTGCTGGTGTGGTGAACTCTGACCCTTAAGGCAATGGGAATGAGGACTTTTACTAGATTGATAGCAATGGAAATTCTAAAGGAAAGGACAGATATGAGAAGTGATTGGAGCAAATAGGAAGACACATAGTACATATTCACATTAACAAACAATCTCATGCAGTGCAAGACTTTTTGATGCATAGCAATAAAAGTACTTACATATAAGGAATTAAATATATGAACATATATGAGGAAGGCCAACAGTCTCAGATTCTAACTACTGTGGGGAATCCTATAATTGATTTAATATAAAATTATCAAACTCTAATATCTCTTTTATATGGAGCCAACTAATTCAGAATTTCACAGTAGATTTACTGTCCTCATTTTTTTTGGCCAAGATGATGTTCACATTAATTTGTGTTCCCTGAGAACTTATTGATTATAAATTATAGGGAGATACTCAGGATATGATCTAGCCCATGTCTTTTTTGTTCAGTCATGTCCAACTCTTCATGACCCCATTTGGGATTTTCTTGCCAAAGATATGGAGTGGTTTGCCATTTTCTTCTCCAGCTCATTTTACAGATGAGGAAACTGAGGCAAACAGGGCTAAATGACTTGCCTAAGGTTATACAGCTAGTAAGTGTCTAAGGCCAGATTTGAACTCATGAAGATGAGTCTTTCTGACTTTAAGCCCAGCACTCTATCCATTGAACCACCTGTATCCTTCCTACTATTCCACATACTCAGTGATTTAAAATACTTCACAATGGGTTGAAAGAAGCATGTCTTTATTTTATCTTTGACTGTTACAAAGAGATATCCATACTCTTTGTAGTCTAATTTATTCTTCAGCCCATTTGCTTCCACTTTTTCCATACTCTTGCTGTAACAGTCATTCCTTCTCTCATGGATCTTTTCCCTTGTCAGTTTTTGCTATTTGCATATATTTTTCCTGCTACATGTACATATTATCTTACCTAATATAATGAAAGCCCCTAGCCTTGCACTTGGTGGGGCCTTTAAAAATGCTTATTGATTGATTGATTGCCACAAGACACATTCAAATCTTCCCAATCCTAAAAAAAAAAAACTTCTATTCACAATTCTGGTCTCTCTAGCTACTATCTCATCTCTTTCTTTTCTCTTTCAGAGTTCAACTTTTTGGAAAAGCTACCTACACTGTATGTCTGTACTTTCTTACTTTTCTCTCTTCTCAATCCTTTTTGTTTCTGCCACTTTACTGCTGTAAATTAAATCTGTTCTAAGGTGACCAAGAGCCTTCTAACTGTCAAAACGAGTAATCTTTTTCCAGACCTCCTCTCTCATGACCTCTGTTCAACTTTCTGTACTGACTTAGCTGTAGAGTCAGTATTCTCCTTGGCTGGTTCCTTATACTCTTCAAAAGCCTGTCCTTGGCCCTTTTTGCTCTATGTTCTTGGCAATCTTACTCACTCCCAGGCTTTAGCTACCACCTCTGTCTCTACTGATAACTCCCAAATGTGTATCTGCTGTCCTGCTCTCTTCAAAGTTTTAGACTCACACCCACAACTAACTAATAAACAGTGCTACCTCTCATATTTAAAATTCACCTCACTATTTTCTGACAGTGGCCAAATGTACCTCCTGATTTCACTTTTCCATCTGCTGCCTTGTGTAGCATGCACTGCCCATTGTCATATTGATGTCACTTCCTTATTGCCTGAGCAACCAGGAGGAGCTCCAAGAACCCTCTTATGCTTGATCATAATGGATAACTTTACTCAGCTGAATCAACTCCATGTGTTCTCAAAAGTGTGTCCTTGTTGAATGACCTTCTCCTGTCTGTGGCAAAGTAAATCTCATTTTCACTTATTGCATGACCTACCAATGTCTATTTTGTTCCAATATCAAACAAGCTACCAAGGGACTGAATCAGGCCTAGCTGAGAACAGCTTAGAATCTGATTGCCAATGCTCCCCTAGAAAGTACGAGGATTCTGCAGAGAATTGAGATAATGAATGAAGGAGGTTATGAAGAAAGATCTGAATAAATTCTATGGGGAAAGCTACCTATGGTGCCAGAAACAGCTGTAGATGCAACCAGGCTCTACTGCCGCTGGACTGGACCAGATACTCCCTGGGTAAATGGGTACCACATGGGCCTGTGTAAGCCATTCTGTCATTGGGCAGCTTCTGTCAGGTTTGGGCTGGACAAGTTGTTCATCTCCTGGACCCATCTCAAGATGTAGCATTTATGCTGAACTGGTCAGTGCACTACTGTCCTGGCCTCCATTTTTGATGAGCAGCTGCAGTCTTTTTTACCTTTGATCACTGGTGAGGTTGAGTGGTATTGTGTATTCTTTAGCTAATGTTACAGGGCTCTTTCTGTTAGGCCAAGACCTTAGCTAAAGATAAGCTGAAGTTTCTTCCCTTTCATTACCTTAGAGACTCAGCTCTGAGGCTGTTTGTCTACAGGATACAGGAGAAGACTTGTCTGCCCTATCAACAAATTCTTCCTGGCCCAATAGCCTCTTACCTCTGTAAGTCATTCCATGTTGCCTTAGGTCAAGGGATCTTAACCTTTTTATGTCATGGGCCCCTTTGGCAGTTTGATAAAGCTTATGGACTGCTCAGAATATGTTTGTTTTTTAAATTCATAATTGAAATAATAAGTTTTAGTTGCAAGTTAGTGAAAATAAAGATAATTTTTTTTCCTATACATGTTCATGAGCCCCCTGAAATCTGTTTATTGGTTTAGAGACCCAAGACTAAGAACCACTCTGCCTTAAGATGATTCCTTTCATTCCAGTAATTTTCACCTCTCATACTCATATTTGAGAATATATAAATGAATGGCTATAAACAAAAATATGAATGTATTCTATGCCTTTATTGCCTTGGTGAAGCATCTTCATATGCAGTTAAAGTGTAAAAAGCTCTCACCTTTTTTAGTGTGAGGATTTCTGTTTTCTATCTAAAGATCTTCCCCTTTACCTTTGAAAGTATTTTATCTTTTAGCCTCAAAAAACGTTCTGAAGTCTCACTGGGACATCCTCTTTACATATGGAAATGTTCATAATTCTTGTTGTCAAGTTCATAATAATGAAATAGAATTTTTAAAAATTAAAACAACAAATAACAGAGCCGTGTACAAATCCCCCAAGTGCTCCACTGGAGACTTCCTCCCAAGATGCCTTTGAACCATTAATGTCTACTTTTTGAATCTACATATTCAACCAGATCCAAATCCCTCTGGTTGTATTATTATCTAGTCTACTTCTCACCATCTTTTCTGCAAGAATAATATGAAGTAGTTATCAGATGCTTTGTCAAAATCATTCAACAGCTTTTTCCTGAATTATCTACTTTGTTAATTGTTAAAAAAGGAAAGCAGATTAGTTTGCCATAACCTGCCCTTTATAAGCGCCCTTGTTGGCGCTTTGTAATCATCATTTCTTTTTCTAGATGTTCACTGACTAGATTTTTCAAAAATCTTCAATGAGTTCTTCCTTGCTTACTGGATAAAATCGAAGCTCCTTAGTTTTGCATTTCCAGCCTTAATTTATATTACTCCCTTCATACACTTGTGTATCTATTGTCTTCAGTGAGTTCGGTGTTGTCTCACAGTCTTTCTCTCTCAACTCGTGCCCTTATTCAATATACATGTTGTTAACTCTTAACCTCACAATTCCTTAACTTATTCATTTCACATACCCTACTCCTGCACTTAACGTCAGCCACATACAAAAATATTCTTGATCTTACCATCACCAGCACATGCGCCTCTTCCATGTTCAGGAGCTCTGAAATGCTTTTATCTAATCACAGCTTATTTTTACTCTTCCTTGCCACTCCAAACCCCGAGCTCCAGCTTTACCATGACCCTTAATCATTTGACCTCTCAATTCTTTTCTAATCTGTCACTATTCTCTTCCATATATTGACCCCTTGGCAAACCAGTTATCTCCACACTGTCCTCTTGAAGTCCCTTGTCCTTTTATCATATCCCTAATCTTGCCCTGGGCATCTAGGTGGCATAATAAATAGAATGCTGGCTCTGGAGTCAGGAAGATTCATCGTCCTGAGTTCAGATCTGGCCTCAGACACTTAGTAGCTGTGTGACCCCTGGGCAAATCACTTAACCCTATTTGCCTCAGTTTTCCTATCTGTAAAATAAACTGGAGAAGGAAATGGCAAACCACTCCCCACCCCCCCAAAAAAAAACCACAATCCTAAACATAACTGAAAACTGAACAATAATCTTGTCAGCCTTGGATCACTCCCACCAACTGCTGCCATTGCTTTTCCTCACACGTTGGCTGAAACAAGCTGGAGAAAATCGTAAAACTGTAAAGACTGGGTCCACCACAAATTTATGTTAAGTAACATCAAATGGGCTTTGCTATGGCAATATGGCAAGGCATTCCTGTAAAAAGACATTCCTCCTTATTAACTAACATTCCACTCAACACAATGACTTTTCTAAAACTTTTCATCTTTTTTCAAACTTCCTGTGGCTATATTTGCCAATACCTCTCAACTGAGAACCATACTTCATATTTTACTGGAAAAAATTGAGGCCATTTGATGAGAGGTCCTTCTTCTTCATCTCATCTTACCCAGATGCCTTCTGCCAAATATCTCCTTTTTCACCCCTGTCTCAAATAAAGAGGTAGCCTTTCTCCTTCTAAGGCAAGCCCCTCTACGTGTACAAGTAATCTTTCATGCCATCTTCTTCAGCAGATTTTCTCCTCCATTATCCTCTCCCTTTTACTTCAGTCTCTCCTTGTTTATTGGCTTCCTTTCTGCCTATAAACATTGCCTCCCCCACCCTCCATCCTCCAAGAACCCTTACCTGATTCATTCATCCTCCCTAGCTATCATCCTGTATTCTCTCTTTTGTGACTAAGCTACTTGAGAAGGCTGTCTATAATCAGTGCTTCTGCTTCCTTTACCCTGAAAGGTTAGGTTAGATTTTCTCCGTTTTACTCTTTGTAGTTTGACTTCCAGCCTCATCCTTCAACCAGAACTGCTCTTTCCAAAGTTACTAATGATCTCTTATTTGCCAAATCTAATGGTTTTTTGGCAGTCCTCATCTTTCTTGATCTCTGCAGCATTCGATACATATTCAACCTCTTCTTCTTGATACCCTTTTCTCTTTCAGTTTTCATCAGTACTGTTTCCTGGTTCTTCTTTTATCTGTCTGACCACTTCTCATTCTCCTTCGCTGGATCTTCATCCAGGTAATATTCACTAAAGATGTGTGCCTCCCAGGGTTCTATCCTAGGCCCTCCTCTCTCTACATAACTATTTCGTTTGATGTTCTTATCAGCTCCTATGGTTTCAATTATCATTTTTCTGCTGATGATTGATTCTCAGATCTACTTATCCAACACTAACTGCCAATTGGATATCTCCCATTGGATATCTTGGACTTAGTATGTCCAAAACTGAACTCATTTTTCCTCCAAAACTTTCCCCCTTCTTAGCTTTCCTTGTTACTGACCACTGTCCTCTCAGTCTTCCAGGCACACAACCCAAGTGGCATCCTCAGCTTATCACACTCTCATCCCTCCATATCCAAGTCCTGTTGATTTTATTTTTGTAGCATCATTCATATGTGCCTCTTTCTGTCTTTTCACATTGCAGCCAGCATGGCACAAATCTTCATTTCCCTCCTGGACTATTTTAATAGAATGCTGGTTAGTCTCCTTTCCTCAAATATTTACCACACCAAGCCACCCTCCATTCTGCTGTCAAATTGAAGTTCATATCCTACCCATACCATTCCCCCTACTCAATAGATTTCAGTGGAGATGGGTTGTAACAGGGGTGGATGTGAGGGAGAGTCCATTCCACCTGGATGTTGGTGGGGACGTGAGCAAAAAACATAGAAATGGCCAGGGCAAGACAAGAAAGGGGGAGAAAATAAGTCTATTTTGGCTAGAAGGCAAAGTTCATGAAGAGGGATAGAGTGAGATGTAGCTGGGGAAAGGTATATTGAAACCATCTTGTGGAGAGTCTTGAATGCTACTGGGTTAGGAATTTATACTTTATTCAGTAGGCAAAAGTTCAGAAGATTTTGTTTAGAAAGATGACATTAGAATGGTTAGTTATAAAGATTACTCTAGCAATGATCTATATTGAAGAGGGGACAGATTAGAACAGAAAGACTAGTTTAAGCAGCTTCTATTATAGTTTAAATGAGAAGAGATAAGGGTAGAAATAGAAAGGAGGATGAATGGATGAAAGATGTTTGGTGAGGGCAGAATCCATAGAACTAAAGAACTGATTAAATGTGTGAAATGAAGACAGAGGAGAGTAAAAAAATTGCTTTGAATTAACATCAAAACAGTATTGAACTTAATTGAGGTTCTCTTTGACTATTCAGATTTCAGTGTTTGGCTGTATCTCAAGGTTATTTTTTTTTTATGTTAGCTTATGGGATTTACAGGTATTCTACACAGATTATTGTGGTTTTAGTTTATAGATGCTAGTCTGCTTAACCTGTTAAAAGTTGCAGGGGGAGGAAAGGGGAGTTGTTGTAAATAAATTTGTCATTTCCTCCTCTTCCATTATTATAAAGCTGAAAATAGACTTGTGATGCTGTGGTACATTTTCTTATCATGTGCACCAGTGTGGTGACAACTTGTATCTCTTAGTTTTCACCCAGTCTTTAAATAACTGATATTTTATAGTTAAACTACATAGTTA